CCCATTATATGAGGTCATTTAAAAAGTATCCGCGGTTTTTTGTTCAATTTTTGAATGAAAAAACCGCGGATACTTTTTAAATGACCCAATATATATATAAAATACAAAATATATATTACATATGAAAGTATACTGTTACGGCCGAATTAGCAATTTCGCTGGTTGCGACCTTAGGGCGGTAGATGTCGATGATTTATACGCTTCGGATTTGGGAGATCGTTACAATGATAGACTCACCGTAACACCATGATCGCTCGTCGGAACCAGTCAAATAAAGCACGATTCGGATATCTGCGAACCTCTGTACTCTGCGCAAGTGCCGCAACTCGTGACTGGTCAGGTTGAAGAGAGACGAGTTGGAGCACTTGGAACACTTATCGATATGGAGCTGCTCTGTATGTAGAGAATATCGCGCGATTAAATGATATGCTCTTATATGGGGGGGGGGGAGGGATCTCCGTAACACGGCGCAGAGAATTCCCTTCTTTTTCTTAAAAATTCCTGTATAGTTTTTCCTGATCTTATTCGAAGATCACAGTACCATGCATGACTTCATCTATAGATCCAGCGTAAAATATCTTCGGAGATAGAGATTCTGCTTATATTTTATGCTCTATATATTATGCTATATATGTTATATACGAGGTCTGTTCAAAAAGTATCGAATTTTGAATTTCCGCGGTTACGTATATTCGATTTTCGATTTTTTTGTGGCGTTATGTTGGTACTCATGTCTCTCACTTATGCCGACAAGTTCGGCCATTTTGAATGTTCAGTTAATTTTTGACAGCTGCTTTGCTTGCACGTGTTTTGGCTCGTCTTCGATTTTTGCCTATTCCAAAAAATGAATCAAAGAATCTGTATCAAATTTTGTGTGAAAAACAAAATTAAGTCCGCGGACGCATTCCGAATGTTGATTGTGGCATATGATGAAGCTACCTTGGACCGAAGCAACGTTTATCGGTGGTACAAAATGTTCTCAGAGGGCCGAGAAGATGTGAACGACGAAGAGCGTGCCAAACGTCCGAGCACGTCAACAACAGACGAAAACATTGATGAAGTGAAGAAAATAGTATTGGTCAATCGTCGAATCACCGTTAGAGAAGTTGCTGAGGACCTAAACATATCGATTGGCTCATGCCATTCGATTTTTACCAATGATTTGGGCATGAGACGGGTCGCCGCGAAATTGGCTTTTGCACCATGATAACACCCCTGCTCACACATCGTTGCTTGTGCGCGAATTTTTGGCCAAAAACAACACACTGATGCCGCAGCCACCGTATTCCCCAGATCTGGCCCCCTGTAACTTTTTCTTGTTCCCGAAACTGAAGAGGCCCATGAAAGGACGACGCTACGTTACGAGGAGATAAAGATGGCATCGAAGGAGGAGCTGAACAAGATCACAAAAAATGATTTTTTGAAGTGCTTCGAGGATTGGAAAAAACGTTGGCACAAGTGTATAATATCTGATGGGGATTACTTTGAAGAGGACAAAATAGATATTCATTGAATAAATAAATAATTTTTGAAAAAACACAAAATTCGCGATAGTTTTTGAACAGACCTCGTATACAATATTATGTAGAGAGATAGTTCAAAAAATTCCCAGAGTCTTCTTAGTAACATTTCGTTTCTACGAAGGGAGACGGCTCTCCAGTCATCGACAGGCGATCTAGGGATGACATTTCTCACCAGCAAAAGACCACGAATATATGAAATTATAATAAATAAACTAAAAACTAAAATTATTTTTGTTAGCAAAAATTACTAAAAAATTAATAGCTTTAATATTAGATAAAGCAATCACACATGAAATTGATAAAGGAGGAAAAATTTCAATGTTACATAGAGTTTGAATTAGTTCATCTCTAATTTCAGATTTAATCCCAAGCCCAAAAAATATGATTAAGATCCTGCAACTCATAGCCACATTCACAGCTAAGATCATTTTTACAGTCAATTTTATACAAAAAAAATGTTAGTAAAAATACATAGCCTAATATATTATAATTTTCACAGCCCTATCAAAATCTTTTCTGCAAATATGCAGTTTACGGAAAAAATATATATCAAAATCAGAATTTAAATCCATAAAATATTTTCCCTTGTTAGGGTTTAAGGAATTCATAAACTCCATATCCAAATTCTTAGTCTTTAACCAAAGACGTTAGTTTTGATCGATAAACAATTTTTGAAATCGATTTTCTTGAGTAATTGGCCTGAAATAGCTACCGTCTCTTAGCCAACTGATCAACCTTTTCATTATCAGTTATGCCAACATGGGCTGGATATCAAATAAATTTAATATTATTTCCCTCAGGACTATTTCGAATACAATTCAATTTATTTAGAATATCAGAAATTAAAAGATTCAATTTGCTCTTATTTGAGTGTCCTAAAAATATAGCCCTCAAACAACTCTGAGAGTTCGAGCAAATGTTAGCAAAATCGAAACCTCCTACTATGATCATATCGATGGAGATAGCCTTAGAGATAGCCCATGCTTCATCATATGAGCTAGAGAGTTGGTTTAATTTATAAGTAACATTAAGTTTTAGGTCAGGAACTCATATCGCCGAATCTACCTTGTCACTACATTCTTCACAAACAATTCTGGATCCATCAATAAAAATTTTAACCTCATGCTGGGATTTAGTTCTGAAATTAATCAAGATGATAAACGCTCTCTTGGGATTGCCGCAAGCTTTTGCCAATGAGCCAAACTTAAAATTCACTGGAATTTTAGAAAATTCCTGAATCAATGGATACGCAAAAGCAAGATGAATATCCCAAATATATAAATGTTGTTTAAAATGTTTGATTTCATTCCATTTGTTAAGTATAAAAGAAATATTTATTTTTGCAACCATTATTGACTAATTTTGCAAAATAATCAAGTTTATTGCTAATTTGATTATGTTTTAATTGTATTCATTTAAATAGAAAGCTCTCAGATAATTTATTGATTATTACATTAAAAGATCTTTGATCCGAAAACCTTCAGCAAATTCTATTTGCCGCTGCCCTGGGCAGG